TGAGGTGATTTTAAGAAGCGTTACTCCTTTCTGGCCAATCAGGACACAGTATAACACGAACATTTTTGAATTTACATTCGAGTTACATAGATTAAAATCCATAACCGGTTCTGATCATGACGTCATTGTTTCTGGCAAATGTTATTTTGGCACTAAAAGACAACCAGATGAAGATGTGAGTCTGTTGGTATACTGTTTCTACCAACCAATACCCATTGAATCTATTTGTGTAAAGAAAAATAAATTTGGCCAATTACTCTGTTGTAAAGCTAAAGTATGATCAGATAGTCTTACAGTCCTTACGGCAGGTTCATCTTACCGCTGATTTAATTCTTCCTCCATTTGAATGTTCAACTGATATTTCGCCTCATTATCTATGTATCATATGTATTATGTATCTCATTACACGGTTAATTAATACGCCGTATCCATGCAACACCATAATAATTAATCATATTCTGACCAGCCCAGTCCAGGCAGTCTAATCAAACTTAATTAATTATCAGAGCCCTGAATGAATAAGTTGGCCAGAAAGCAGTGACGGTGCCCCATCATTCAATCGGCTTTCGCATGGAGGGAATATTAGAATTGATTTAAATAAACTTCTACAGAGAGGGTATTATGGAGACTCGCATACTTTGCAACCATTTGACAATAAGATGGATATGTATAAATAATAAAAAGATCATAAGGTAGTTATTTTCATTTACATTTTTAAAAGTTTCTTAGTAAGAAAACGAGGTTTTTGTAAAAATTTAAATTATGAAGAAATTGGGATTTTGAGATTATGAGGAATAAACCAGGGAATTTCAATTCATAATTTTTCGTGGATGTTTCTTTCCAGGTATAACCAACGAAAATTTTGATGACAACCAGCACTGATGTCGAAGAAAAATGGGTGGGGTCCATTATTCTTTATTTTTTCAAAGATTTATGGATGAGACAAAAAATTCGTGATTGTTTGACAAACATTCATGTGATATGTACTACAGGAAAAAACTTTACTCGCACTGCTTGTTTAAACAATTTACTATTCTGAAATATGCAATCAAGTTTCTTATATTTTTAAAATAAAAAAAATGAACGAAAGGATTCGTATCGATATGGCGAACTGAATTCATCATTGTTTTTCTCGTAAACCAATTATTGATCATATTATGTAAAAAACACAGTCCTTTATGTAATGGTCACTGATTGACAATTATTTAATGCGAAAATAATTTAAATTTAATTTTTATAACTGTTTTTGTTAACATTTAGTGCAATTGATTTTTGTTCCTTTCTACCAATTCTTGATAATGAAATAAAATATATTTCCGAACCTTATTGGAACAAAATAGCATATACACCATTTTCTTAGACCTCTAAATACTATAGTTATACAAAGGAAAATTTGGTTGATTTAACAAAAAATATTCAAAAAATTAAAACAAAAAGCCCGAAAATAGATAAAAATTAAAGTAAACCTTTTATTTCAGAATTTTTTGATAACTGGTTAAAGGGAAACATGTGTTCAATTCAGTTCGCCATATCAGTACCAATCATTTCTATTAAAAACTGTGCAAAACAGGATTTTTGTTCTGTATTTTTTCTAAAATTGAAAATAACAATTCAATTTTACATCCATTTCTGCAGGTGGTTTCCGAGCTCGACATACCGATTCGCAAAATAAGCAGGTGGATGTGAGAGCGCGTACCATTAGCGTTGCTTTAGAGATCTGAATACGGACATTTCTAGAATAAGCTTTAACATTGCTCTTGACAATAGAGTTCGGACATTTACGCTATTAGCCAACGTTGCTTTAGAGAAGTGAATACGGACATTTTCAGAATAGGCTTCCACATTTCTTTCGACAACAGAGTGTGGACAATTACGCTTTTAGCGTTAACGTTGCTTTAGAGAACTGAATGTGAATATTTTCAGAGGTAGCTTTTGACAACAGAGTGTGGACATTTACGCTTTTAGCGTTAACGTTGCTTTAGAGAACTGAATAGGGACATTTTCAGAATAGGCTTTAACATTGCTCTTGACAATAGAGTGTTTTCATAGGTTAACGTTGCTTTAGAGAACTGAATACGGACATTTTCAGAATAGGCTTCCACATTTCTTTCGACAACAGAGTGTGGACAATTACGCTTTTAGCGTTAACGTTGCTTTAGAGAACTGAATGTGAATATTTTCAGAGGTAGCTTTTGACAACAGAGTGTGGACATTTACGCTTTTAGCGTTAACGTTGCTTTAGAGAACTGAATAGGGACATTTTCAGAATAGGCTTTAACATTGCTCTTGACAATAGAGTGTGAACATTTACGCTATTAGCTAACGTTGCTTTAGAGAAGCGAATGTAGATATTTTCAGATGTAGCTTTTGACAACAGAGTTCGGACAATTACGCTTTAAGCGTTAACGTTGCTTTAGAGAACTAAATACGGACATTCTCAGAGTATGCTTCACCATTTCTTTCGACAACAGAGTGTGGACAATTACGCTTAATTGCTTTAAAAAACTAAATGTGAATATTTTCAAAGGTAGATTTTGACAACAGGGTGTGGACATTTACGCTATTAGCGTTAACGTTTGCTTAGAGAACTGAATGTGAATATTTTAGTACCCTTTGTATTCGTTTGACTTCACTTCTTAAAAGAGAGCAGGGTAATATTTTAGCTTTTGACAACAGAGTGTGGAGATTTACGCTTTTAGCGATAACGTTTGTTTAGAGAACTGAATGTGAATACTTTAGCTTTTGACAACAGAGTGTGGACATTTACGCTATCAGCGTTAACGTTTGTTTAGAGAACTGAATGTGAATATTTTAGCTTTTAACAACAGAGTGTGGACATTTACGCTATTAGCGTTAACGTTTGTTTAGAGAACTGAGTGTAAATTTTAGCTTTTGACAACAGAGTGTGGACATTTACGCTATCAGCGTTAACGTTTGTTTAGAGAACTGAATGTGAATATTTTAGCTTTTGACAACAGAGTGTGGACATTTACGCCATTACGGGGAAATCTTTAATGAATGATACAATGTCAGCAAACGATTATAAAAATCAAACTCATGTTATTAGCCATTTAGAGGTTGGAAATGAATCAATTACATCTGGGTATATGGATGACTTGAAAGGTGGTAAGAGTTCCATGAATGACATGAATGAAGCGTTAGACTCATTTTCAATATTTATGCTAACATCCAATTGTGTTCTGTCATTGATGATATGTGGTGGAAATATCCCAGTAGTTGTCAGTATCATTTCATTTAAATCTTTGCGAACTGTGAGCAACATGTTTTTGGTCAGCTTGGCAGTGGCTGATATTTTAATCGGGGCAGTTGTTTTACCTTTACGTATCATCAACTTATATTTACCCCCACTCATCTTTGGAAGAATCATACAGAATGAATACATCTGTTTAATCAGATGTTTCATTAGTAGATGCTCGTTTGGGGCTTCTCTTGCCAGCTTAGGTGGAATTGCTTTGGATCGCTACATTGCTGTTACTAAGCCTTTAAGATATAAAGTGCTTCTAACACGCTCTCGTGCATTGTGGTGTATTGCATTTTGTTGGCTTTATCCAACCGCCATCGCTTGTTTCATGTTTTACAACCGATTGCCTCATTTTGATGAATCCATCTCTGAATGTGCAAAGCAGGTTTACAATCGTAAGTACAATATCTTTGTGAATGTGAATGTCATTACTATGTTTCTGATCATCATGTTTTCACACATTCTTGTGGCAGTTGTTGCATTCAAAATCCGAACGGCACATATTCAAGAACTAAGTAGGTTCAATAACAATCTTGCAGTACTTGAAAGACAGTCGTTTAGTAAAAACGATGACTTTACTAGTTGGGTTGTTTGCAATATGCTGGTTGCCTACAACTTTTACTGTCCTTCTTCAAAAGACTGTTGATCGTAAACGACTGGTTCATCTTTGGAAAATCTTCCAGTTACTTTTGTGGGCAAACAGCGCTATGAATCCGTGGATATATGCTTTCCGGATCAAAGACCTTAGTAAAGGTATGAGGCGTGTTGTCTTGTGTAGGTTCAAGACACAACAAATCCAAGAAATATATCCGTTGCCTACAATTGCCGAGAATGAATAAAGATTCACTCTACTATACCTAACCCTAGAAATGCATAAGATACTCTGTTTGTCCAATTGTATTGTTTAGTATATTTTTGAAAGTACCTTATTAACATCTAACGTCAACAGATAAACCATTCATAAGGAACAGACACATAAAAACTTATAACATAATCATTACTAATAAGCCAAAGGGGTTGCTCATGAACTCCAAATGCAAGATATAGTGGAGTGAGATTGGCATTACATATTTCTATACCTACATGGCTATTTTTTGGTCAACCTTCTAAAAGATATCAGACTTGTTGCGCTAAATAGATTTATGGCAAAACCTGGCATAAGTTGTCATGAGCATAGTGTACCTTTTATTTTACGTAATATAATGTACTTGTTGGTAGATGGTTGGTCGTGAAGATGACATTGTAATCTTTTGTCGACCCCCGCTTTCTTAATCATGTAATTGTACTAATTAAATTGAGGGAATGGTCTAAAATGATATTTCAAACGTTTCTCAAGGATTTGGTTTATTATTATAATGTTTTGTCTTTCTATTATGCCTATTTCTGACAATTAAGACTAACACTCATTATCTTAAAGAAAAGTACATAGAATGATAATTAGTGATTTGGGCTCTTGTTTTGAGGGTGCAATAACAGTTTGCATAGTTGTTTATTTATCAATTATATCAATGTTCAGTGTACAGGCAACTGACACCCATGTGGGTGTATATAGTTACATATAATTATATTACATAATTGTATTAATCAAGATGACAAGATATAAAATTGTTTTTACAGATAGAAAGTTAGGAGAAAAGTAATAGAAGAGAAAGAAATATACATATATACAGAGTGGTCCAAAAAATGAGACACTCGTATTTTCTTATATATCATAAGTTCAAATTTATTAAAATGTCTGTCAACCAGCGTTCATAATATAAATGACGTCCTTTTCGTTTCAAAACGGGGTTTCCAAAACTTGCAAAAACAAAGTTTTATTGTCAACTTAATTTACATTAACATTTTGATCAATTGTAGCCCTCAATTTTGGCATACAAATCAAGAAAAGACCAGTCAAATCTTTATCAGGAGAGCTTTCAATACATCTGATTAGAAGTGTTCTAAAGAAGTCCAAGTGAAACTTGATGCTATGTTCTGGTCACTCACAAGATGCTGCCTATTTGTAAATAAAATACAGTTTTCCTTGTGCGATTCTATGTGATGAAATAAAAAATTGATAAAACTTAAAATGGGTAACATATGTGGTACATATCAGGGTGTGTGTCTTATCATACAGGGCGTATCAAAAAAACGCAAGAAGTAGTTATCTCGTAAAATCACAAAACTAGTGATGACTACATCAATTTCATTCAATGTACCATGAAGCCACGTCTCCCCTCTTTGCAATGATATGTCATTCATTCACATGTGGTAATGGTTGGGTGAGAAATCCTTCCATATGCACAGTGGGTCAAAATCCGCTCTGAACCAAGTTTTAGATATCGCAAAAATCAGTGCAAGGGCTAAGTGCCAATGGAAGTTCCCCTGACTTGAATTGTTGTGGCTTTTTCTTTTGGAGCTATCTCAGGAGCATCTGTGCTCACAATTCCTTCACCGGATATTGCAAAACCTCGATAAAGAATTGCCCATGGGCTGCTTTTCTCTGCTTTAACCCACAGATGACTCAGGGCTGAACTATGCATGACGTGGACAGATGAGCGCATCTTTATGTGCAAGGAAGTGGTGGCAATTTGGAGGGGTATAGGATGTACTCTTGCAAGAGTATGAGTATGAACACATTACTGTCTATGCCACACCTGTCACACCTTCTTCCAATAGCCCTTATGCCCCTTTTACTGACTTTTGCAATGTTTGAAACTTGAGTCCGAGCTGAATTTTGCCCAACTTTGCATTTATGATTATTCGGCCAGCCATGATTCCCTCTGAATGAATGATATTCCATTGCAAAGAGGGGTAATTTGGATTTTTGGTACATTGAATGAAAAGGATGCAGTCAGCATTGGTTGGATGTTTTCTTCCAATAATGCATCGGGCTCCGTACACTGACTTTTGCGATATAACTTGGTCCCAAGTTAATTTTGGCATACTTTGCAATTGGAATGATTACTCATCAAACCATGACCAAATATCAATGAATGATATATCATTGTAAAGAGGAGACACATGGCTTAATGGTGCATTGAATGAAATAGATGCTGTTATCACTGGTTTTGTGCTTTTACGAGATAACAATCTGTGCCGTTTTTTGATACACACTGTATAATTTTGAAATTATCGTTGATTTTTTAATAAAGTGGCGAAATTAAAGAAACTAGTTACGCATTTGTTCAAAGGGTGGTGGTTTATAGTATGTATGAAACCCCTGCATTAAATCTCATATATACGAGTTCTAAACATGAATTAAGTAGAATACAGGCGGGGTTGGGGGGAAGGCAGTGATTAACGGGGGATGAATCTAGGCACATTTTCTTTTAAACATTTGACACTTGTGGGATCTATTGCTTAAAGCCCCATCTTGTTGGAAAATGTAATGATTCCAAAATGAGCTTATATCAGAATGGTCCACAAACATCATAATTGGATCATCCGATATCAAAGTCTGCGACAACAACATATTGGGAGAACTAACAGAATTGGTTTATCATGGACCTCTTACATCCACTCCAGGGGCGTAGGAAGGTGTAAATTCAACACTACGCCAAAAATCCCGCCAAAAATATGAAACAATTGTGTCAGTATTCTATATCAAAACGCCTATTTTATGCTGGTAAAATGTCATTTTATGAAAACAGAGATTTTAAGCTTGCAATGTTTTTCACAACCTAAATGTGAACGGAAATACTTAAGCGATGCATTTGTATGGGCGATTGGTCATACGTATAGGTTGGCGTTTCGATTTTATATGCAAGCTTTAAATCCCTGATACCTTTTTAATGTGCTTTAAAATGTTCGAATGATTTTCATCATTTAAAATCACCTTGGAAAGCCTATCAAAAAAAAAAAAAAAATCTCGACACAAATCATTCTCACTTTGCTAATGTCTCGAACGATTGAGACGACCAATTTCCAAAACAATAAGAGATTTTTTAATAATTTTCGAAAAGTTGAATTTAGATATATAGTATTGTCTGATTCCATCGTGTACCGTGCAATACAATACGTACAGATTAAAGAAACTAGTTTGATCAATTGATATGAAGAAACGCATTCGTGATCAATGAAACAAATAAACACCCCCACAACAAAGGTCAAATCGAGGTCAACGTGACTTAGGGGGTGCCAAAAATGTTATAAAACAAGAATCTATTATTTTTCAAATGAAAAAAAACTAGGTAATCGCTTTTCTAGAACTGAAATCAATGAAACGTGTTATTGAATAATCAGCATTTTCAAGTTGTTTTTGTCTTTAACATTCATATTTCAAGAAGTACTACTAATAACAATTAGTGATTTAGTAAGAAAATAGATAATTGCTGACTTAACTATAATTTCTGTCTATGATTTTGCATAGCAACGGAATATAAATCGATGTAGTGAAATTGAAAAATCGGGGTAGGGGAGAATAAAAAAATATACATCTTTTAAAGAGGTTCATCATTATAATCATATGATACCATAGTTTGCATAAGCATTACGGAACATGCAGAAAAAAAACAGTTTTTCTCTCAAATTCGTGAAGAGAACGCGATTCACGAATATTTGGCGAAATTGTATTTTACTTTTAAAATTCATAAGATAGTCTGGTAAGGGAATTCAATCTGTTAAATGATATTTGCCAGACAGACCAATAATGATATGGTATCCACAAAACATTTCTTTAGGCTAGTGTGCTCGAGATTACTTTTACAATTTATGAACAATGAGAAAATATGACTAAAGAAAATAGGAAAATTTTTATTCTCACTTTTCAACACTACGCACTGGCGTTTTGGCGTACATTGTTCCTACGCCACTGCACTCAGTCCCTTACTAAGGATAGAAATGTTGAGAAGTGAAATTCATTGCCTCAACAGCATATCAATGACGCTATTGACCAGTTTAGGCCAAAATTGGGGGCTACAATTGATCAAAATGGTGGATATATTAAACATCTGTTTATGTAGATAAAGTTGACAATAAAACTTTTTTTGCAAGTTTTGGAACAAAAATGACATCATTTGTATAATGGACGCTGGTTGACAGACATTAGAGAGATTTCGCACATAAGTGAAAATACAACTTATACGTATACGTATACTTTAAAGGGTCATGCCTAACTATTATATTTATTAAAATCAATTTTAAATTGTACATAATGAAACATAACTATTCCCGATATGAAAAAGCTCCATCAACTAGAGACTGTGAATGCACCGTCATCTGCACGTGTAGATTATGCAAATTATAATTAAATGTTTGCTTCCATGTCCTAGTAGTTGTAGTTAATTATAAACACGATCCTTTAAAGTGAGTCATTACATAAACAAGTTGATTATTTCAAAGTAGGTTCTAGCAATTCCTGGAAACGACCCATTCAGTAGCTCAACAAATGACATACAGGGCGTTTCATAACGAGCATCTCCAAAAAATCAATTTGAGAAGAGATGGGTCTATAACATATGTACTATATATGAGCCTATTATATTCTAGACAAACACATTTGGATCAACTAAACATGCTACAATTCAAGAAAGTATAAATGGCATCCATTTGACCTTTATTTATTACAGTCTGAGAAGATCTTTCCTGACTAAAAGCCCACATTATGAAACACCTTGTACGTTTACTATAAGTATAAGTATACGTTATAAGTTGAACTTTCAAGTATGTGCGAAATCTCTCTGATATAATAGATTTGAACTTATGATATACCAAGTGAAAGAGTAAATTCCCTATCCACTGGTATATAATATGACATGTTTACATCAAGAGAATCAATATTTATTTCTGAAATACGAGTGTCCCATTTTTCGGAGGACCTATTATGAGTACATATAACTAAATGTTATACAGATCAATTCAATACTTGTCCAGAAAAATACTTTTTCAAATCTGACTTAGATTTATTTCTAGAATTCAGATGTTTAAATGTTTCATGTAATTCATTCCAGGTTGTTTGTCCTATCTATTTAATGCTCCTTTGTCCAAATGTGGATTTAAATTGATTAGCTCTAAGAATGAATCTATAACGTGTCCCTTGACCAGGAGTTTGAGCATTTGATATGAAGTAGTCCTAGAATAAAGTTTGAGGATTTTTTTTTTGATTTTTCTCATGAGATTGACCCATCGATATTTTCTTTTTTTCTTCTATTTTGGTTGAAATTAACCCATCGATATTTTCAATGATGTTGAGATCTTGATGTTGACCTCACTTTCACTTTACCATGTTAAATGTATCACTACAGTTTTGACCATAAATAAAGGAGTCTTGGATTTGCTAAAGTGAGAATTCCTAATTTTAAAATTAAGAGAATTTTCAAAAGGTCATACATCAGTGGTTTGTAAATTGTATACATTCTAAAGGATGTGTATCGAGACACTTTGGAAACAATAAGCCTGCAAACAACTTTGGTTTGGAAATGATGAGAGGAAATGGACTACTCACTTGGTCAAAACTGGAATTTTAAGTTGAAAATAAATTGCTCTAAGATTAGTGTTTCCCTGAGAATGTGTTTCTTTCAGATAAGGCTTAACTACACATAAAATGAACAGAAAACTTGTTTAGAGTATCAATTATTTTATTGTTACCAAAACCTCACATGGCTTCTATGAAAATCATCAAAATATTAGAATGACTGATGGCCATATGAGCGAATAAATAATACTCCCACATGAGACTTTTTATGGATATGGACAACAATTCTAGATATGATTGATACTCACTTTTAATTATTGAAAACAAACAACAAGCACACGAGACTGTATATAATAGGACCGAGTGAAACATCTCAAAAATAATGATTAATTTTTGTCTTGTGAACAGAAATAATTTATTTGAAACACTTAATAATGATGGTTATATTCCTTATAAGAAAGTACCTTTATCTGTAAAGCATAGCGATGGTCATATACGTAAATCATTGCGATGATCATATTCGTAAATCATTGCGATGGTCATATCCGTAAAACATAGAGATGGTCAAATCCGTAAAGCATAGAGATGGTCAAATCCGTAAAGCATAGAGATGGTCAAATCCGTAAAGCATAGAGATGGTCAAATCCGTAAAGCATAGAGATGGTTAAATCCGTAAAGCATAGAGATGGTTAAATCCGTAAAGCATAGAGATGGTCAAATTCGTAAAGCATAGCGATGGTCAAATCCGTAAAGCATAGCGATGGTCAAATCCGTAAAGCATACAGATGGTCAAATCCGTAAACCATAGCGACTGTCGCTTCCGTAAAGCATAGCGATGGTCAAATCCGTATTTAGCATAGCGATGGTCAAATCCGTAAAGCATAGCGATGGTAATATCCGTAAAACATAGAGATGGTCAAATCCGTAAAGCATAGAGATGGTCAAGTCCGTAAAGCATAGTGATGGTCATATTCGTAAATCATAGCGATGGTCATATTCGTAAAACATAGCAATGGTCGCTTCCGTAAAGCATAGCGATGATCATATCCGTAAAACAGCGATGGAAATATCCGTAAAGCAAAGCATAGCGATGGGTATATCCATAAAGCATAGCGATGGGTATGTCCATAAAGCATAGCAATGGTCATATCTGTATAGCATACGGATGGTGAAATACGTGCAACATAGCGATGGTGTCAAATCCGTTATAAAGTATAGCGATCGTTATATCCGTAAAACATACCAACGGTCATATTTGTAAAGCATAGCAATGGTCGCATTTGTTGGCAACAAAATAACCCTGCCTTAGTTGGTATTTTCTTTTACTTATCTTGATATTCAGGGTGGAGAAAAGTAAAAGTAAATAAAATCCACCAACTTAGGCAAGGCTAGCAACAGAATGGTACACAATAAATATCATATATCAACAGACATGTCGCAATTTTACAATGGCTAAACAAAATAAGAATGTATCAATCATCATAAACAGGTCATACTATAGGTATTTGAAATCTAGGTCGAATAATAGGACCGGAGTTATAATAGATATTCAAAAGTTGGATCTAAATTCATATTAAGTATTTTTTAAGCAAACAATAACAGATCCTGATAACCATTATCAACGTGTGCATATCTGTCCGGGAGACCTATCCACCACGCGCCGTTATTCTTCTTCAATACAACTAAACTACATGTACCGCTCTTGTCAATCTTGTCAAAAACCTCGCTGGTATCGCGCGCACTTTTTTTCCCTACCCAATTTTTTGTATAGGCATAACTACCAAGACTATCCAAACGCTTTTTTAGTGTTGCACGTCCCTTCTTTGAATGATTACTCTCCACGCTTGAAGTCACAAAGTGCCGACCGTCTTTATCAAACATTCTTTGCCCTCCACACATATTAGCAGTACTTGCCGTTTTTAGATTATATGCAACGACAAACCAATCGCGCCAATAATACTTCTGTTTCAACATATCGTAGCCATCTTTAACAAATCGCTCGTTACTCTGTCCATATTTATTAGCAGAAAATTCTTTGATATCTTTAGCAGATTGGTCAAGGTATTTGTTTTTAACAGCCTTGTCAATTGCTTCAAAGTTCCTTTTCACCTCCTGAATTCTCGTGTTCCATAGCTCCGTGTTGGTTTCTGCAAGCTTCTCAAATCCACTCACATAGTAATACGCAATTTCGATTTCAACTGCCTGAAGGAGGAGACGCAATGTACCAAGCAGAAATTCTTGTGTTTTCTTTCGGTCATTTGCAGTATATCGCATCACAGATTTGCCGAGATTTTCTTGAAACGTGCCATGGGTTTGTGTTATCGCCTGGTACAATTTCAGTGCACTAAGTTGGTAGACGCTGTTGTAGTTGATGATAAAGAGTTGTTTCGCATTTTCTGACGGCTGATTAGTACTGTACAGAGTGATGTATTGTGAATGCATCGCATTGATGTTTTGCTCTATTTGTCCAAAGTTTACAGCCACCTTTGTCCAGTCAATCAAGCGTTCAATATCGTTAAATCTGTTATCGATCACGTTGAATCTGTTGTCAATTTGTCCCATCATCTTTTTCATGTACGCCAATTCTGCCGAATCTTGCGATGGGATGAAAGCCAAAACAAACCCAAGAAATGGACCCAATGCCCCAAGGAATGGCGCTATCGCTCCAGTCAGCTTTGTCAAAGTCTTCGCAAAATCCTTATTGTTTATATAATCAAGGATCTCCTTCCCGGCCGCAAAACCTTTGTCCACGTATTCCTTCTCAGCCGCCTGTATGCCCTCGCTCTGTTGTAATAAAGCCAATACAATGACTGTTTGCAGCAGTACGGTTAGAGACACGCCTACAATCAAACAAAAATATATTAATCGACAAATAGTATAATTTGTTCATTATAAAGGGTGGAGCAAAACATAATTCAAACAAATGTTAATAACTTTGTTGTATGGAATAACATTGAACAAGGTTTAATTATGACTCTTTTCGTATGCTGAATTACTGAACTATCAACCACGAATCCTAAATAGCATACCCCCATACATAAATCACATGTATCATATGAAAGCCTGTTCAATTCCGAAAATTCTGAAATTTCTGAAACAGCTTTGATTAATCTCCGCAGTTTTTAAAACTTGCTGCATATCTCTACAAAAGGTACCCATTTTTCTTTAGCATAGAATCTGAAAGCCACATATTTTTCCAAAATTAGCCATGTGCCCTGCAAACAGCTATAATAACCACGCCTTAATGCACTACTGTCTATAACAATGTACAATATATATCTAACATTTGATGGATGCTGAGGATATATCTTAATGATACTTGATAGACAAAAGTATTAAATGGTTCAAAGAAATGACCAGAGAGCTCTAGATGTCACAATGGATCATGAAATGACCATTGAAAATTGATCACGAATACATATGTTTAGGGAATTGAATATCCTAAAATTATCTATGGGTACCGAGGGTTACGTATCTCTGTGGCGTGACATTTTGACTCATTTATTGTAAATGGCACGATTGTTGGAAGTTTGGATGTCTGAATAAGCTTTCCAATTTTTGTAGAATGTTATATGTTGTGCCTACCTTAGCAATACATTCAAGGCAGCATGGATTCTTGACTAGAATAATGGCATTTTTGATATGGCCTCCCTTTTGAAACTAGAATTTCTGCTATACTTTCATATTGTGTATCTTTCACAATCAATACCGTCTCATTTTATGTTTGAATTATACAATAGTGTCAAAACTAAACAATAAATTAAGGTAAAATCCGATATTATGTATCTTCCACAATCAGGACCCTCTTGTTTGAATTATACAGGGTTGTCCAAAAAATGGGACACTTATTTCAAAAAGAAAATTTAATTTTCTTGATGAAAACCTGTCCTATCATATACCAGTGGATAGGGAATTTACTTATCTTTTATTTAGTATATCATAGGCTCAAATTTATTATAATGTCTGTCAACCAGCGTCCATAATATAAATGATATCATTTTCCTTCAGAACGGGTTTTCTTAAACTTGCAAAAAGCAATTTTTTGTCCTTAAATTACATAATATTAAACAAACTTTAAATATGTACATCTTTTTGATCAATTGCATATACATTTTCCTTTAAGATTTGACACTCTTCTGGAATCTATGGCTTAGAGCCCCATCTTGTTGGAAAATGTAATGATTCGAAAAATAGCTCATATCAGAATGGTCTAAAAAACATAATTGGATCATCTGATGTCAACGTCTTCAACAACCACGTATTGGGTTGGCTAACCATGAACCCCTTACATCTACTCGGTCCCTTATTATGGATAGAATTGTTGAGTGGAATTCATTGTCTCAACCGTATATCAATGATGCTTTGACAAGTGTAGGCAAAAATTGAGGCCTATAATCGATCAAAATGTTGGAGATATTGAACGCCTGTTTATGTAAATGAAGTTGACAAAAAACTTGATTTTTGCAAGTTTTTGAAAACCCGTTTTGAAACAAAAATGACATTATTTGTATAATGGATGGTGATTGACAGACATTAATATTGAATTTGAATTCGAACTTATAATGAACCAAATCAAAGACAAGTAAATTCCCTATCCACTGGTATATAATATGGAATGTTTTCATCAAGATAATCAATATTTATTTTTGAAATACGAGTGTCCCATTTTTTGGACCACCCTGTACAATAGTGTACGTGGTTACCGTGTACGTCAACACTAAACAATAGAGAGGTTAAGCTACACGTATTTAACAAAACTTGAACGTGAACTTCAATGCACGCGCAGATAAATGACGTCAGATTTGTTTATTTCCTGTGGGCCAGCGTGAAGTTTACAAGTCTTTACATGAGATTATCATATTCGTGCAATTTACAGACGCGTATTCAACAAAGCATGAACGTGTACTTCTATGCGCGCGCAGGAAAATGACGTCAGATTAGTTTACTTTCTACAGGTAAGCGTGAAAGTTACAGGTTTTTACGTTTAGATAAGGGATTACACGTCGCTCATTACGTGATTGATTTTAGCTATGTTCTAGGATGGCCCGGGAGCCCATATTTGATACAAACAATCTTACCGGCTTCTTATAAGTGTAAGCCCCAATCCTTAATTGGAAATAAGAATACATTTTAATGAGTAAGACAACTTCAAATGTAATCGTTTGTTCATTCCGTACAATATAAATAAGCAGTGCCAATTTGATACCCGGGGCTTGGTACAATATGGCTACTAAACGAAATAAAATGACTACCAGGGCCTACGATTGCCTTATCACTACATTTGATTTGCCTGAATCTGAATGACTGAATGACCTGAATTGATTGCAAATTAAACAATTTCACAATTAATATGACACAAATGATATATCACATCAGATGTGCAAATATAAAGTTTGCAATCGATTCAGGTCATACTTCAAATTAAAAGATTATACATTTTTTCATCATTTTTTTCTACAAAATGGCTATAGAAAAATGCTTCAAAAGCAACTTTTACACTTATGAAATACCATACAACTTTGTAAATCCAAAGATTATACTGTTATGTTTCATTAATTAATAACATATTTGGATAAGATGTAGGGATGTGTACGATGCAAATGGATTTTGACGGACACACAAAGACTTCCTGGTTTGGCATCTCCCTGTACACTTTATGATTGAATATTGGCCCCAATAAGTGGCCCATTCATCAATACAGTGCTGAATATAGGTCAACAAGATACTATATTTATAGTATATATATAAGTGAAATGATAAAAGCAGTATATTTATTTTGAAAAATCAGATGAATTTATTTTGTTCATGGGGAGATCATAATGGAGGGCGCACTAGATCATTTAATTGTGGTTGAATATGAAATGAAGCAAAAATAAAAAACAATGTTTTTAAGCGACCAGATTCGAAACCAGGTCTAATGGACACGAGTCCGAAGTGCTATCCATTACACCATAGAGACTTTTAAATACGCTCACCACATAAATATAGCACCACGTCCACTGACATGGTTTCAGACGTGTAGCTTAACAGAACATTTTCTTAAACGTGTACTTGAGCGTGGACTTACGCGTTCAGGTTCACGGTTTGCATTTATACGTGTAGCTTAACCTCTCTAATAAAGCTAATATCCAAGGGGGTCCCACTTCAGAAAGTACCTCAATCTGCTAATGACTGGAGAACTTCATTCAGTGTTTACAACAAAAACACAATAGGGTGTCTTTCGATACAATATGATTACTAATATAACTATTTATACATGGCTGGCAAATAAGGTGAAGCTAAGTTGATAAGGACACATTGTAGTCAAGATATTGGAAAGTCAAATTAATTTCCACAAAACTCAAGATTTTAAAGACATGTTAAGCAGATAAGTAGGTCAGTATTACATAATCATGAAATGAATAAGTTTGAAAATACAATTGGGCAGAATGTACTAAAACCTGCTTGAAACTGAAAAACATTGCATGCTCTATTCCACACAATTTGGAGGCTTTTGAAATTCGCAGTAACAATGAATAAGTGCCTGTATATAATCATTGCATAGAAAACACTTCATGTAGTGTTTATCAGATGTATTGAGTTGACCAAAATACTCCTTTGTTTACTACTAGTGGACTACATACTTGTACCCTTACATATATATATTACTGTACATATTGTAGAATTAGCCCATAAGAGCTTTGCAAAATCAACATCTTATACTATCAACGTAATAGACGGCTTGCCAAACCTTACAGGCAAACTATTATAGTAGTTACAGAAACGAGAGTTCTGACGCACCTATAACATGGAGTCCTATGGGGAGGGACACGATTTTTCATAATACCCTCCCTAACATGGGCTCCAATGGGGAGGGACATCTGTGAGCCTCCCTGAGCTCGGGAGGCACATACGGGGACCCCACCCCTCCCCCCTCGGCGTGGTGGCGTGTACATATTTCGGGAATCTCGGGCCCTAAGGGTAACGGACGCCCTACCCCACGTCTGTACGTTTACTGTAAGGGATACTATTCGAATTCCCGCCAAAAACAATAAATCGATAAACCAGTACGCGTCCCGTTTAACCTTGAAAGCCTGTACCGTCGGTACAGGTTCTGGTAATTTGATACGGAATATTGACAGCCGGTGAAGTAAAATTAATAAAAACGCGTCAGTCGTTGACTGGTAATCGATAATAGGTAAGACCGTACCCGCCGGTACAGGCTCGAGTGATTTCTTACATGTTGTGGCACGTGGGGCGTGACTTAAACAATAAGTTCGTCTCGTTAATTATAGTACGTACCGGAAACAGCCACTAGTCAAAGGGTATATAAAAAGATAAGTTCATTTAGTTTTCATAACGTTAAATACTTAATCACCAAAGATGCCGATTGGAAAATTTCGAGTACCATCTAATATTAAAACAATAAAAAATGGGGAATTTATTGAAACAATTTCGACGCCAAAAATTGTTTTAATGAAGATATGCGACGGAATGTTCAGCGCCGTCAACGACAATGGAGTTGACATCAGAAATTACCAAATATGGCCAATCACGGGGATCACAAACGTATGTAATGCCTACGGAACGTGCGCTGGTGTATTTCTAACCCATAATCAAATGGCGCGACTTATCGACAATTTACCACACGTCACTGAAAAATTCATGGAAATTGAATCCAAGAAAAAGGCTGATGTCAAAGAGTGGGACGTTGTATTGGGGGCTCAATTTCGACTCAGCGTTCATCCTAAATTTCGAAGAGTTAATATTAGGGGTAAGGTTTTAAATGATTTGTTACTGATCATAGAACATCGAATATACAATTTAAACTGTCATTCATATTGTGGTTACATGTCGTATT